CATGACCGAACCCAAACATGTGGAGATTGATTGTCATTTCATTGAGAAAAAGTTAGAAGATGGGACTATAACACTTATACACATTCCGACCAATCAATAGATAACAGACATCCTAACAAAAGCTCTATCAAAAGGGTTCTTTGATAACATCATGTCCAATCTAGGTTTACTCAACATATATGTAAACTAGATTGAGGGGGAGTTTAGAAAATGAGGGAATAATTTCTGCTTTTCTATTTTGTCCTTATGTTAATGAGCAGAATAATAGAATTGGTGAGGTGTACCCTGCCACTAATTCTGTTATTCCTTTTGCTGTCACCAACTATGTTATAGTTTTTTTGGTCAGAAATTGGTTGTAAAACCTGTATAAATCAGCCTTTGGTGCTGGAAATAATTAAGAAAAGAGGAAGAATTTCTTAGCCTCAACAAGCTTCATTCTCTTCATAAACCTTTTCTTCTTCACCTTTTTTCACAAAGCCTTCTAGTTGCTCAACATAGATTTCTTCTTGCAAAAGACCATTTAAAAATGCTGATTTAACATCCAACTGGTACACTTTCTAGCCCTTTTGTGCTGCAACAGCAAGCAGTAACCTAATGGTGTCTAGCCTGGCAATTGGTGCAAATGTGTCTGAGCAGTCCACTCCAAAAATCTGGGCGTAACTTTTGACCACAAGCCTCACCTTGTGTTTGTTGATGGAGCCATCGGCATTGAGCTTGGTTTTGAAAACCCATTTTACTCAAATGATTTTTCTATCTGGAGGTCTGTTAACAAGCTGCCATGTATTATTTTTCTCGATCATGTACAACTCCTCCTTTATTGCAACCATCCATTTTTTATTCAGTTTTGCTTCATCAACACTTGCTGGCTCACACACAAATATATTACAACTTTGATATATATCAGAGAGTAACCGAGTGCCTCTGATTGGAACATCATCTACAGCTTCATCCTCCCATTCATCTATGCCATGTTTGTCCCTTTCTTGGATGGGACAATGGATGTTCATCTCAGTTGAGATTAGATAAGATTTTTGTTTTCGGACCAATACCACTTTTCACTTTCTATAAAGTATACATCTCGGCTTATGGTTGTCTTTTTTGTTTCAGGATGAAAGATCTTGTAAGCTTTTGAAACGGTGTTGTAACCAACAAAAATTTCCTGGTATTGATCTCCTATCCAGCTTGTCACACTTCACTTCAGGAACATAAGTGAAACAAAGACTCCCAAATACTTTTAGGAAGTTCATTGTGGGTTTATAGCCGAACCATGCTTTAAATGGTGTCATATCTTTTACTACTGTGGTTGAAAGCCTATTTTGGAGAAAAACTGATGTATTTGCAACTTCTGCCTAAACAAACTTTGTTAAGTCTTTGTCATGCAGCATGCATCTTACCATTTCCATGATGAATCGATTCCTTCTTTCACTAACATCATTTTGTTATGGAGTGTACGGTGCTGTTAACTAATGTTGTATTCCTGCTTCATTACAAAAAATATTAAATTGATATGATGTATACTCAGTGTCATTATCTTACTTCAAACTTCGGATTGTGCAACCACTTTCATTTTCTACTCTTTCTTTAAACTTCCAGAATACGCTAGCAACTTCATATTCGAATTTCAAAAAGAATATCCAACACATTCTTGTTAGATCATCAATAAACATAATGCAATATAAGCTACCATTGAGAGAGGGCATCCTCATTGGACCTGCAAGATCAGTGTGT